TGTTATGTTATGTTATGTTATGTTATGTTATGTTATTTATTTATTTATTTATTTATTTATTTATTTATATATTTATTAAGTGCAAAAACTGGAACAGAATGTTGTTTTCATCTGTCTGTTTATGTACTTAGTTATTATTTAATTCATGCAGTTTGAACGTTTGTTTATTTATAACTTTTTTCTACCACGCCCTTCCCACAGATCGAGGCTTTTAGGCTTGAAAGTCGGAAAATGAGCATAAAACACATAATGAGTTCACCCATTGTCAATTACGTAAATTATCATTTCCGGACCATAAACGTAAATTAAAGAACTGGAAAAAACTAAATTTTCCTGCTTCGTCTTTTTTAACAAGGAAGCATAGAACTGGGAATTGTAAGATTAAAGATGGAACTAGACCCTGTTTCACAAAAACAATAATAAAAATAATAAGTTAGCTTCTTTGGTTAAGAACTTGGTTACCAATATACCATGTATAAATCTTTGAGAGATTGACAACTAAAAAGGATAATACTCGTTTTTCACAATTAATACATTATAGACAACTCGTAGAAATATACTAAATTCCATTGTACCACCCAAACAGTTGGTGCTAGCCACCAGACCACGTGGACCTACATGGATGGCTATATGTCCGTAATAATATCTTAAGAAACGATTACGAAAAAACAGACTTTTTAGGGGAAAAACCATCGCCTAACTTTGTACCTGTATGATTCCGAATTGATAAGTGCAGGAAAATTGTCGTTTACCCCAGAAAATCTGTCTTTTGGCCGAAACGCACAGTTGTTTCCCCTTAAATAGCCTGTCTATTACTTGTTAAGAGGGTCACATATAAACAGAGCACCCGCGTGTGACTAGACCATGCCCAGTTTGCTTAACAGCAGACAGCAAACTTGTTAAGACCTTGTGAAAGAGAGTAAAACCCTCTGCAGCTTAAATATATGTTAGGGACTCTCAAAGATGACCGGAACAGATTTTAGTGCTTAAATATATTATATATATCACTCGATGTGAAAAGAGTCTAATAGTCAATAATGCCAAAAAGTTATGACACATGGGCAATGATGCATTGCTGTTATTCTTCAGGCTGTAGGGGACAGCGGGCAAGGCTTTGGAAACTTTATCATCTATTGTGTTCTAACTGATATATTACGGGATCGAATCTGCACCAAACTTGGCTTCTGCAAGAAAGACATTTCTACGAAAAGGTACCATATTACGGCACCCTACGTAGACGAACTGGATGAAGGCAGTGATAGACTCGTAACCACTGAGAACAGCAGCGATAGCGACTCAACGGATATGTATGGTAGTTCTGCTGGGGAAACCACGCCCATTTTACGACACAACGTTAACTCTTCTCACGCATACTCACCAACCAATTAAAATGATGTTGAAAATGACTATCTCTTCTACTGGGGAAACTACGCCTATTTTACAACTCAACTCCTCCCATACTTACACACGAGTTAATGATAATGAAAATGATTGTCACTTCTACTGGGGGAAATTACGCCCATTTTGCGACACACTCCTCCCTTATTGATTGAAATGACTGTCACTTTTAGGCTACTGGGAAAACCACGCCTATTTTACGACACAACCTCCCATCCTTACACACCAATTAATTGAAATAATGATGAAAATGACTGTCACTTCTGCTACGAAATGCACTCGCTGGAGAACATGTACCCACCCATTACTTATACGGTGGACAACATTTTATAAACATGGCACAGAGAGGTTCCAAACTGCATTATTATATAAGCAATTCCTTCACAGTGATTTTATTTCCATTCTTACAAAACTCTTACAGAGATAAATTAAATCACAGGCACAGGTGGAGCGGAGACCGACTGATTAAAACGGAGGCATTCTACAAAGAAAGACTGATCAAGAATTCTGTGGCCTTGTTCACATTGAGCGATATTCACAAATGGATCTAACAACTTTGATACGCCCTCACGAGTTTTTTTTCTGCCTTCGACAATTTCTCCGCAAGTTTGCTTGTTTCAGTTAATTAAGTTAATTAATCTCCAGTGTTTCGCGCAGAAGCCCCTTTAAAGTGACTCTCTCACTTAATTATAAGGTTAGAAAGTTGTCAATCTTTTAACATGGAACCGGTCCAGCTAAGTATACCGCTCATTGTGAAAAGAACCGATATAACCACGAGGCAATAATAAAATAGGAAATATAGACATACATGTAGCCTGGACCAGCACACATTTTAATTATAATAGATACATGATACAGAGAAACATGGTTTTGTATGAGACACATTTTTGCGATGTTATACACTTCTAAAAATTCATTATCACGGAACGTATCTGATCATCAAGGATGGCGACCTTTTTTTTTTAGATATTCACTTTGATATTTGACTTATTATTGATGTCGATATAAAATGACGTTTTATATGTCATTGAAATAATTTGTCACTGAATGTCATTGAAACAATTTATTATTTATTTCTGTCACCCGCCTAAATTGTTCATGTTATTTTTCTTTAAATTCTTGTAATTGTATTATTTATCACCAGATATCATGTTATGTGCACGTTTATACATTTGCTTTTTTTCAGTCAAAATTTGATTTTGTTACGCTTTTATTTAAAGTCATTGTCTCAGCTGTCCTTGGAAAAAAATCAGAATATTTTAATTGCTTTTTATCTGATTTCTAGACGGATATAACATAATGCCTATTCCAACAATTTAAGGTGTTTCAATGACTTAGTATATAAAAAACACTGTAATTGTAGGGTTACTTACTTTTGGGGAGCAATTTGATTCATTCGTAGAAATTTGGCATTTAAAGTCCGATAGGCCTCTGGTCGAACATCATAAAAGCGTGTAGGCTATTAACGTATCCTTAACGGTTTTGAACATCTCAAAGAGGGTGGAGGAGACAGGATGTGTACATAAGACGTGAACCTAAGTGGTCATTGGCTGGTGGTGAAAGGGAGTGAAGACATGGGCTCAGAGAAAAAAGCAGTTTTTCTAACATCATAGTAAGATAATTTTTTTCTTTTGGTATTTTGGGCACAATCTGTAAAAAAAGATAAATACTTGCACAGAGATCGTGGTTCGGTGTGATTGAATTCAGGTGTCAGTTGCCAACTACTTTCTGGTTTTCACAAGACTCTAAAAAACTTTAAAACATCGTTATAATAGCAGCACATACCATAAAACACACAAAAAATAATGTTTTTTCTTCTATATTAAGGGAGATTAAAAACATTAAATAACAGCTGGTATATTCGATATTACATTGTGTTAGATGTGAAAGAAATCACAATTTTTGTTTATCACATCTACGCATGCGTACACTGGTACTTCCTTTTTCCGGCGTGCAAACATGGCAGGTGGCAAGCTTCAGAAGTTGACCAAAGAAGAGGAGCTTTTACTCCAGGATTTCAGTAGAAATGTGAGCACAAAATCCAGTGCTTTGTTCTACGGAAATGCTTTCATCGTCTCAGCCATACCTCTTTGTAAGTACCGGCGGACTTTTAGAGAAAAAGACCGTTGTTTGTGTGCCGATGGACGATGGTCGTGTTTGTGTGTGCCACGTCGGCAGGGACGGGAGAATTCACTTGAATAATTAGATAATAGAGTTTAACCGTTCTTGTTTTATGTCTTTTTGCAATCAGAATATATGGTCAGTTTACATTCTGTGTAAATTGATAGCGAGAATATTTTATTTTATTCATAATCAAAACTTTGCACCCACTGCTTGTCTGTTCGCTTTTCAGCAATATTACCACCCCTCCGTACTTCAAATTTAATTTTCAATAAATCGGTTTTGTTTGTATGTCGCCTTCTGGGTTATATTCCAGACAAGAGTAGATCGTATATGTAAACATTAAATGTCATAAAATCATTTTATTTTGACCAAGTGACAATGTTTGTAAACCCATTCCATCTGTTTACTCTTGTACTACTAGTTATTATTTGGGTGATCTAACCCCACCATTAATTCAATTAAAAAGAAAAACAGATTATTGACCATAGTCATTTATTAATTTTTTTAACTTATTTTTTGTTCTGGTCTGAATCATCAACTTTTATCATCTAGACATATGTATGATTCATATATGTACAAGTATGTCGGTAGTCTTTAATCTGAAGCTGGGTATTCTCACATGTATACACACTGTGCCATCAACTTTTCAGCTTACTGGCCATTTGGACCACCACTTTCCTTAAATCTACTGGTCTGAATGGGGATTCAGTGGTCTTAATAAATTTCAATAGACTGGACATTTTCCTTTATTGGATAATTGATATTAATTTACTGGTAAAAAAAAAAACAAACTTGATTTTTTTAATTTTTCATTTAGAATTATAATGTAACAGTCATATTTCAGAAAAAAACTAAATCAGATTAACAGCTCTTTTGAAAACTTATGGAAAAAAAACTATGTTAGACCACTAAATTCAGACATTTTGTAAAGTCTACTGGTTCAACTGGCATAAAATATAAATATAAGACCTACAGCTTATGTCGCAGACTGTTCTTACAGCAGTTAACAGCATTTAATGAAATGGTTGAGCATTATATTTAAAAACCTCATTATTTGCAATTTTTAACCTCTGTGGTGTCTGTTTCAGGGCTATTTTGGAGGGTGCACCAAATGGACCCGTACCAGTCAGCCATTTTGTTTGTCATCATGACCATGATCAGCACATGGCTGGTGGCATTTGCCTACAAAAATGTGAAATTTGTCCTGAAACACAAGTAAGTTTTATTAGTATATTATATTTATTAATAGTATTTTTTAAAACTTAGTAGTCAATAGTTTTAATTTTTACATATTTATTTACTCTTTTGGGGAGATGGAGGTGGGGCTGATCCAATTTTAATTCTGAGAAATTATTTGCAAAAAAACTTCATCTTGAGAAATTTCAACTGAGTGAGCACAAATTTTACAAATTTACAAAACTGCATTTCGAAATGAGCTTGTTTGTCTTCAGCTGAAAAAATTGGCTGAAGGTTTTATAAGAAGCTGAATCTTCCATTTCAATCCAAAAGAAAAGTAGATGTTTGAACTAATTTTTAGTGTACTCTTTTTTTTTTTTTAATTGGACTGTTTCTTTATTAACTGTACAGCATCAACATTTTCATGATCTGATGCTTTTTGTGTGACATTAGATGTTAATGGATAATGGAAATTATAAAAGTGCCATTTATCTGTTTTCAGAATTGCCCAAAAGAGGGAAGATGCCGTCACCCGCGAGGTCATGAAGAAAGTTGCTGATGACAAGAAAATGTCCAAGAAGGAGAAAGATGAGAGGTGAGCTATTTCAGATTTTATGTCAGCTTATTAAGAAATAATTGTGCAATTGTCTGTTGTGGCATTAGATATATAGGAGTCTGTACTAAAAAAAATGACCACATGCTTCTTTTTCATCTTATTTCTGAAANTTAACCTCTGTGGTGTCTGTTTCAGGGCTATTTTGGAGGGTGCACCAAATGGACCCGTACCAGTCAGCCATTTTGTTCGTCATCATGACCATGATCAGCACATGGCTGGTGGCATTTGCCTACAAAAATGTGAAATTTGTCCTGAAACACAAGTAAGTTTTATTAGTATATTATATTTATTAATAGTATTTTTAAAAACTTAGTAGTCATTTATTTATTTACTCTTTTGTGGGGTGGAGGTGGGGCTGATCCAATTTTAATTCAGAGAAATTCCTTGCAAAAAAAACTTCATCTTGAGAAATTTCAACTGAGAGAGCACAAATTTTACAAATTTACAAAACTGCATTTCGAAATGAGCTTGTTTGTCTTCAGCTGTAAAAATTGGCTGAAGGTTTTATAAGAAGCTGAATCTTCCATTTCAATCCAAAAGAAAAGTAGATGTTTGAACTAATTTTTAGTGTACTCTTTTTTTTTTTTTAATTGGACTGTTTCTTTATTAACTGTACAGCATCAACATTTTCATGATCAGATGCTTTTTGTGTGACATTAGATGTTAATGGATAATGGAAATTATAAAAGTGCCATTTATCTGTTTTCAGAATTGCCCAAAAGAGGGAAGATGCCGTCACCCGCGAGGTCATGAAGAAAGTTGCTGATGACAAGAAAATGTCCAAGAAGGAGAAGGATGAGAGGTGAGCTATTTCAGATTTCATATCAGCTTATTAAGAAATAATTGTGCAATTGTCTGTTGTGGCATTAGATATATAGGAGTCTGTACTAAAAAAAAATGATGACCACATGCTCCNCAAAAAAACTTCATCTTGAGAAATTTCAACTGAGTGAGCACAAATTTTACAAATTTACAAAACTGCATTTCGAAATGAGCTTGTTTGTCTTCAGCTGAAAAAATTGGCTGAAGGTTTTATAAGAAGCTGAATCTTCCATTTCAATCCAAAAGAAAAGTAGATGTTTGAACTAATTTTTAGTGTACTCTTTTTTTTTTTTTAATTGGACTGTTTCTTTATTAACTGTACAGCATCAACATTTTCATGATCTGATGCTTTTTGTGTGACATTAGATGTTAATGGATAATGGAAATTATAAAAGTGCCATTTATCTGTTTTCAGAATTGCCCAAAAGAGGGAAGATGCCGTCACCCGCGAGGTCATGAAGAAAGTTGCTGATGACAAGAAAATGTCCAAGAAGGAGAAAGATGAGAGGTGAGCTATTTCAGATTTTATGTCAGCTTATTAAGAAATAATTGTGCAATTGTCTGTTGTGGCATTAGATATATAGGAGTCTGTACTAAAAAAAATGACCACATGCTTCTTTTTCATCTTATTTCTGAAAAATGTGCATGTGTCTACTTAACACCACATTTTAGTTTAAAGACCCCTTAGCAACACACAAATTCTTTGTTGTATGTAACCTTCATTTAAAAAAAGCTCCCCATGTTCATGCACTCCTCTTATTTCAGAATCCTGTGGAAAAAGAACGAGGTCGCCGACTACGAGGCCACGACTTTCTCCATCTTCTACAACAACTCCCTGTACTTGGTGTTAATCATCCTGGCCTCCTTCTATCTGCTGAGGACCTTCAACCCCACCGTGTATCCTTTCATTACATGAGAATACTTTTATTTTGTTTTATTTAATACTATATTAGACGTGTAACTCCCTTTATTGAGTGGGGGGGGGGGGGGGGAAGGCAGACATAATTGTATTGCTGAAAACATTTGCAAGGGACTAACATTTGATAATCATGAGAAACTTTTTGAATGATTTTTCTTCTTGAGTTGACAGGATAAGGAAATTTTAGGTTTTTGACGAATGTATTTCAGCATCAGTATTATCTTTCAGAAATATTTATGCCTTGACTGCACTTTTCAGCAATTATATAGTTTCAGTTTTGGCGGCTGGAGGACTTCTAGCATTATTTTCTACGAGCACACCTGCCAAATAGAGACCAGATAACTTAATGAACATGACATTTATAATACTTTTCTATTGAATATATAATTAATATTGTCAAAAATTAAAAATTGAGAGAATGAATTTGCATTCCTATATTGGGTGTATGTCCACAAGGATTCGTTTGTAAGATGTTGCTGTATTTTTTAAGCCAGTGAAATGCCATAGAAATCTTTGACAAGAAACGTTGAAAATGTGACAAAAATGACATTTTAGACTTACTTACTAAATATGCTTGTGTTAAAAGGTGAACAAATAAAATATTATGACCAAATAAAGGACGTCTTTTATTTATTCTCTATGAGCATGAAAAAAATACCATATTACAATGAAGAACAACTGTTATGATGAATTTTTGTTTTTGCAAAAAAAAAAAAAAAAAAAAAAACCCAAGGATTTCTCTTCTGTTCACAATTTTACTGCTGCAATACCAGTTATAATAAGTAAAAGGTCTGACATGGCTTGGTGGGGGTCTCACAAAATACCATGATAAATGATTCTTTAAAAATAAATTATAATTTGGACAAGGGTTCAAGATCACTCCCAATTTCTATCATACATTTTTCTACGTAAAGTGGTTTTTTTCGCGACATTTTTATTCCCACACCAGTGACGTCCACCCCATACTGGTGTATTTAATATTTGTCCTTTTTAATATGTACTGTAATTATCAGATCCCAATATTCAATGTTTATCTAAATCGGCATATATTCTTCTCAGTTTCTCTTTCTTCTTCCTATTATTGTGTTTTTTCCATGGTTTCTCTACCAAGGACTGTTTGCTATTTTGAGAACTTGCAGACCCACTGGAAGACTGGCCCTTGGCATGGGCCTGAAGGCTCATCTGAAACAGATCGTATCGAATATTTATTTCAATGTCGGAAAATTGATTTATTTTCACCACTGCCCCCATAACATAACTAATAGAAATATTTCCTCGCTTTTAATAAGGTTTGTGTTGGGCGAGGGGGCAATGTTTATTCACAAGATGCAATAAGGCTTATTATGGGGCCCTCAACAAACTAAAGGCTGTCATATTTTACCACAGGTTTCTTAAACTCTGATAATTAATGTACTAGATGAAATAGCTTTAGAACTCAAGATGATGAGGTCTAACCTATGTTATTCAAAGTAACAAATGGCCCCATAGCTTAAGAAGGGAATTTCAATTCAACAATATTTAAGTCACTTTGCCTATATACATTTTCATCCAGGGACGACAGCCATTTCTGGTTGAAGTTAGTTGTCTTTTACATGCCTTGGGTTCACTCACCTTGGTGAAAAACATCCTGTCTACATCATTCATGTCATACTCTGTAACTCTCTTCTTTTCCTCTTTCTTCTGTAATTTAACCATCCTTTCTTCAGCAGGAGTTGGGGTAGGCTCATATTGACCAGCACCGACACCTGGCGGTGGGTGGCAGTAGAGTAATTTGCCCTGGAGAATTCCAATATATGACATACAGTTAAAAGAATTTGCATTTACTTTTGGTCCATTTTGTTTCCCTCAACACTTTCTGAGTGTACGTGTAAAATTTAAAAATCAAAACCTTAATGAGACATTTATTTGTTAGTTTAATATTTTTAAACCATATCACATGGGACCACAATTCACATTTCTTTTTCTCATTATTAATCAAATTGGTAAATATAAAGCAATTTCTGTAATTCACTTCAATTTTTTTATAACATGTTAACTAACACATATTTATATATTCATCAGAATGTAAACAAAGAAATGAAATTCTTGTCTTCTTAGAGTAATCATGTCTCCTATCATTTCTAATTGTTCTTCCCAAGACTTACATTGACATAATCTTTTAGAACATATCTTGATGATCTGGGGCAGTCTGGGTTACCTCTTGCCGTCATGAACCCTCGCATGGCTGAAATATTACAACAGAATGCAACTACTAACTTCCATTAAAATAATATTCCACTGATGTGGCACCTTATTTATCTAATAAAGACATTTCTATCTCCAGATTAACACAGTGACCAACTTTTAAATAAGATGAAATTGATATCAATGATACTACAAGAGCCATACTTCCTATGAGAATAAAATTGTGTGTATGACAGCAAGTTTTGAGTTTAATTTTTAAAGCAAAATGTTTATAAAAATTTTCCTGACTACTGTAATACTGCTTTAGTATCAAATTTTAGGTCGAAAAATGTAATCCATTTCCTTTTTGAATTTCAAAAAAAAAAAAAAAAAGAACCATTTAAAAAAATTAACCCGTATAATTTGTTTGCACGTAAAAACATCAATTACATCCATAGCTATTCAGGAACTCTTCAGCTTTGGGAGGCCTGTTTTCATCCTCTCCTTCCATAGGCCTTGGAATCAAAATCCCGTAGATGGCTTCCAAGGTCCTCCGAGGAATTTGCTGTAAGAGCTGCACAGTGTTAAAGGACAAAACTACAACAACAGAATTTGTGGCACATACAATCAGTCCAAAAAACGTTACCTTCTAATTTCAAACAAAAAACAGGTCATGACAATGCCTACTGCTTATATATACATGAACAGTGGTGATTTTCACTTTCAAAGTTAAAAATTTTTCTTCCTTTTTTAAAACAATGGAACTGCAGATTATTACACACACCACTGAAAACCCCAATGGTGAGTTCCCACTTTGTAAATAAAATCAAAATTAGGTATCTACAACCAACAAAGGGAATGCCAGCAAAGTCAAAACCCTTCTCGGAATTTTCAAAACAAAGGGAGCGTTCCCATGATACCACCATACTAGCTGGATTGATCCAAGTCTACAAGGATTCCGGGTTTATGGGAATACAGTCAAAGATAGAGCCACCATTATGATGATAATCATCAAATTTTGTCTTTCTATCTTAAAAACAAGGATACTAAAGAAGTGGGAGGCACGTGGTCTCTCATCTGGTCAATGGGCAGAATTCCACTGAGGATCAGCTCTGCTTTGGTGGAAACGAAGGTGGGCATCACGAGACCTGGGCAGTCACACAGCATGAGACTTGGCTCCACATACAGGGTCTGTAAAATATAAATAACCATTAAATTACTTATATTACAGTAACAAAGCATGAGGCTTGGCCCCACATACAAGGACTGTAAAATATAAATAGCATTATTCATATAAAGCATCAAAGTCAAACACTATCAATTTTGGCTCTACTAGTACATACACAGCCTGTACAGAGCAAACTGTATTTTAAATCACCAAAATTAATTCAACATTTATCCAATAATTAGGAAATTAATTGTACTTCAAAGAATGGTATATAATTTTAATAAAATACAGGTCTATGCTGTTTTTGACCTGATGCACAAAATGATTTATTTGCTTCCAAACGTGTTAACTAACAGTTACGGATATACTTTTGTTTACCTGAAAATGTTTTGTTTTCCCCGGAGTGTCAGAAACGGACACTTTCTTGGTGTGGAGAAGAGCATTGATGGTAGAACTCTTGCCAACGTTAGGGTAACCAACCTGGGGAGAAAAAAAATCAACCACAAAATTAGTATCTGACAAATAAAACATGAAAATATATTTTACCTTCTGAATCTTAATGTTAAAGAGTGGAAAAACATGAGCTTTTGCTAAAACCAGGTACTGAAAGGAATGATTATGGAAAAAAATTGCTGTTCCATCAAATACTCCTGAAATACTCCAAGGCTGATTTGTCATTGATGAGCATTGTATGCGTTTCACATGAGTTTCATTTTTTTTTTCAAAACAATTCATTTAGTACAATGCCTCAAACCAAAGAACTTGTTAGGTCTAAAAACAAATGCTGGTTATTATTATATTAACTTGTACCATGTTGTTGACACTAGCAACACAAATATCTAGGGAAATACATACCAAGCCAACAGTCAAAATCCCTTCAGTCACTTTCTTTCCTTCATGAACAGTCTTAAAAAGTTCCAATAATTCTTCTCCATTCAACAACTTGCTGCTGTTGTGGACACAGGTTTCCCTCGCACTGTTTTCATCACATTTTGTACTGCTGCTGTCATTGTTTTCTGTTGTCACTGTATCACAACTGCAATTATCAGTTGACAATATTGCACCATCAGATGTGGAACAGTCTGCTTTGGATATGTCATCTGTTAAATTACATACTTCCTTCTGTTCATGATTTAAATTTGTAGTTGCACCTTTCAATGACCCATCAGTCCCTGAACAATAGGGTTCACCCCCCTCTACAGCAGAATTGATCTGTGATCCAGATGTCGCCTGCTGTCCTCTACAGCTTCTCCTCTCGGGATTTTGATCTGATGTTTCACTTTCATCACTGTCACTTTCCTCTTCACCTTCTCCATCAGAAGCAGTGTCACCATTTTCATCAGATTTCTCTTCCAATTCCTAAAATTCAAATACAGAAGTTCCGCTTTGCTAAACTGTACAGCTGTCGTCTACTTTTGTATATTAAAAAGGAGTACCAAGTAAGAGTTGATGTCTATAAAGCATTTGAAACTTTGCATTGGGGCACTTGCTAAATGACAATGTCTCAATTCTGTTTCATTATAAATTTATAGCAAATCACCCATCCTATTTATATTTTAAGTTACGTGACTTGCCTGTAATCTCCTCATTTCTTCCACTGCTGACCAAAATGCCACCCTGACACCTTCCCTGCTGAAATATTCTGACCACATCTCTCTGAAATCATAAAGCCAGTAACTAAAGAACAAGAGAAAACTTGATTATCATATTGCCCCTATTAATCAGAAATACCTACAGTTTATGTGAAGAAAATGACCATCAGTATTTTTCTTTTTCCCATTTTTTTACCAAATTGATGAAAAATAGAAGTTAGTTTCACTTTTCTGAAGCATAAAAAATAATTTCAGAAACTGTCTCCTCCCTGTCAAAGTTTTATATATTTCGATGAAAACAACACCTGGTCCTGATAACTCAACACAAAATTGATCCATCTTCTGTTGCATAATGAGAGATTACTCAAATCAAGTCACAAAGGAATGGGCAAAAGTTGTAAAAACTGAAAATCCTGAAAACCCAGCTGATCAATTCTCTTTTCATTTAAACCAATGTGACACTAAAAATACTATCAAAATTAAGACTGAAAATCCTGAAATAGGGACATAATACTGAAAACTTTCACCAATAGCAACCCATGTCAATATAGCGTGAAAAAAGGTCCACTGTATGTAAATGAATGTAAAGGCTCCTCACCTCTGTTTGTCAGTCAAAAAGTCTGCCTTGTTGACCAGCACCATGTTGACCTTCTCTGTGTTGACCTCCTTCACATATTTCTCCAGGTCAACACACCTGAACAGCAGTGGGTTCCTGGCATCCACAATTTGGATCAAAATGTCACTGAAAAGGTATTATACAGAGAATCAGTTCTCCTGTTGACAAGCTGTATATATTCAAGAAACTGAGACAGATGGTTAAAAGGGGATATTAGGGATTTATATCAGACTGTTATAAGTTTTTGTTTTTTTTTTAATTTACCTTTATTATTTTGTGTGCATGTGTGTGTTTGAAGTACCAACCTTCTTTCTATCACTCTCCAAAGCTGTCTCCAGAAGTCCAAATTCTTCTCAAAAGGTGTCATTAAGATATGTTCCTTCTCCTGCAGTCTGTAATAATAAAAGTTATCGGCAAATATGGCCAAAATATTGTTTTTGTATGTGACTTAATTTAAATCCAATGCATCAAAGGATATATCACAGCACTACCAAATCATTGCTACATTGTACCATAGACAAAACATCCAACTCATTTGTCCTATAGAGCTGACATAAAAAACTGAACATGCCAGGGTTTTAAAGTTTCACAACTTCTAGGTGGTAATGTTCAGTCTGAATAATCATTTCAAATTTTTGGTAATACTGTATATTCACTATTTTGAGTATTTTGACTATGTCTACAGAAAATAATACTAGCATTTCTTTTCAAACTCCCAATTTGTTGAAAAATGACCAGTCACAGTAGAAGAAAGAATCTGCAAGGACTGGGAAGCTTTACAACTGGCATACTTGTACAAATTTCTCTCACATATTGATACACTTCCTTATAGTTGCTGACATCTACATAATATGTATAGTTACTTTAGTCTACTTACAAGGCCAAGTGTTTCCTCCACACTAAGAATGACTCCCTCTCAGCCTGCTCCAGCTCTGACTTAGTAGTGGTCTCATCCCACTGCGGCCTGTTATAAAACCACATTTTCAAGTTTTAATACAATGTACTGGTAAATGTTACTAGAAGTTCAAGATGGACTTGAATAATAAGGTTGTTTGTTTCTTACTGCTGTATGTATGTATGTATGTATGTACGTATGTATGTATGTATATGTAAACTCATGTTGCCTGGGAACGTAATATGCTGAGAAACTTGTGAATAGTATAATTCGATGTTGAGGTAAGTTTGAAATAAAATGTACTGAGAGGGAGAGCAAGAGAGAAAGAAGGACGGGTAGATATGGCATTCATTTTGCTCTCTCTCTCTTCTCTCTCTCTCTCTCTCTCTCTCTCTCTGTCTCTCTCTCTCTTTGTGCGTGTGTGTGTGAGAGAGAGAGAGAGAGAGAGAGTGCGAGAGAGTGAAAGAGAGAGAGAGATAAGTGGACCAAGAGATCGAGACTAGTGTGCGGAAATCGAGGAGTAAGGAGAGAGATTCTACCTCCTTGGTATTCTCAGCAGCTGTTTGTTCTCCTCCTGCACCTGTGTGACCTTAGTTTGCTCCTCTTCAGTCAGCAGTCCAGAGTTCCTGTCAACTGTGATCAGCTTCACATTTAACTTCTCTGAAAGAAGAGGAGTGATGAAACCAAATTGTTCTTTGGGTAAACATCCTTTATACTAGAATTGTGATACTTTTATAATGTATTTGGAAATTTTAACAACTACTGTAACACTTTTTATTATTATTTTTATTTTATTTTATTTTATTTTTTTCCTGTAGCTAGATAGCTTTGTTTTCTCTTAAGGCTCTCTTGGACATGAAAGCTTAGTAATGTCTTAAGGTTGTACATTTTACAATGAAACTATTTCAGCTCTCCGTAAGTAAATTAGATAGTTAAAAATGTCATATCTCATTCATTCACTGCTATCACAACTACATCAAACAGATAATACCTGCTGTAAATTCAGTTCCCGCAAGTTCAGCCGTAGCCAAAAACTCGTCCAAGTTGCTCTGTTCTGTCACGGACTGCAGATTGAGACGACCCCAGTCAAAGCCATCAGAAAGCTCACTTGTGTGTAACTGAAATGAAAGTTCAAAGATAAATACAATGTCATGTAAATGATTAAAAAAAGTGAAACACATGAACCCCTAACTCATACAAACTATGCAGACTTGAATGTAGTACATAGACAACTTTCATTTTGTATTTCAAACTTATCACAACCTTTAACATGATATGTTCAAAATGTTTTTTCTGTTGTTTTTACAAAAAAAAATAACTTTAATTGAAATGTGTCCCCACATAACCAGCTGTCCTGACTTTGAACTTAATCGTCAAGTGGAATGCATTAACATATAAGAAACAATTTAACAAATATTCTGCTCAGTAACAAATCTTAAACAGGCACATGAATTTGGGCAAGTTAAAATTAACAACCGAATTGCACTTGCCAAGACGGGGATTTAACTTACGAATGAATCTGTCCCAACTTTCTTCCGCTGTTTCCCAAATCTCTCTTTTATCAAATGTCTTCCGAGGGAAGGCTCCTTGTTTTTCTTCCCCATTATTTCTCTTTACTCCGTACCAAAGTCAGTGACAAGAATACAATCAACAAAACTTTAACGCAATCATGTGTTTGTGCAACCATAAGTTTTATTAAACCATGCCCGTGTCGTCACATCCGGTAACCTTGACCTTGATAAACCTCTCTTCACTGTTTGGAGACTGAAAATGTCTGAATGTAAGTTTTACCACATCGACACCCCTCTTTTTTTTTAACAAAATTTCAAAACAAATAAAAATTTAGATCGATTCCAGTCACAACGGACAATTCTGCACCTTGAAATGAGTGGCAGCGATCATGGATGAAGACAATTTGTCCCGCCAGGCAGACGAAATTGAGGCTCTGTCCTCCATCTATGGGGAGGACTGGCGAGTTGTAGATGAGGCTGAGAGACATTACTGTATAGAGGTTTGTCCACCAATTCTGCACTCAGTTCTACCATGGACTTTTTGATTGATTCACAAACTTTTGTTCCATGAAGATTTTTGCACCCACATTCTCAAAACTGGTTGTGAGCCTTTCCTTTGAATCTCACTACTCTCAATTTGTGCTACATGTCCAAGTCAAGATACTAGTAGAGAATTTAACATAAAGCATAAATTATATGCTCCAGATAGTACCATGCCATAGTATGCAACCATATATTTTTTTTATTTCAGATCACAGATGGCAAAGAAAAGCCCAAGTGGAAAATTACCCTCCAGGTGACTTTGCCTTCTGACTATCCAGGTTCTTCCCCACCCACATATGAAATCAATGCCCCCTGGCTCCGAGGAGCTGTGAGATATGAATTACAAAACACCCTTGAGGAAGTTTATGTTGAAAATGCAGGGGAGAGCATTATATATTTATGGGTAGAGAAAATCAGGGACTACCTTAGCAGTAAAAAAGATGATTTAGAGCTTGGTTCTAGTGAAGCTGATGCCTGCAGTGATGACATGAATGTGAACCTGAAAATGCAAGATGTGGTTGATGAGGCTACTGGTGACCTTCACCCTGAGCCTGACCTTGACCTGAGTGACCTCTCAGAAGAGGTGGAGTCACTTGAAGTTTTGCCCCAGACATTTCACAAACCAGACCTTGTGGAGAAAATTCAGTGTCCCGTGATTCACCATGGCGATCCTGTGAAGGACCGTAAAAGTACATTCCAGGCCCACCTGGCAGCCGTGAACAGCGAGGAAGAGGTGCAGCTTGTAATGGAGAAACTACTGGAGAATAAAAAGATTGCCAGTGCCACGCACAACATACTTGCCTATCGAATTCGCAAGGATGGTCAACATAATGTGATTGCACAGAACTGTAAGGACGATGGTGAAACACATGCGGGGTCCCGTATGCTGCATATCATGCAGATTATTAATGCGTTAAATGTTATGGTTGTTGTCACGAGGTGGTACGGTGGTGTTCACCTGGGCCCAGACAGGTTCAAACATATTAACAACTGTGCTAGAACTCTCCTCCAACAGCATGGTTATATCAAGGAAAAAGATGAAAAGAAAGGGCCCAAGAGTAAAAAGTAATTTACTTTATGGACATTTTGTTTTAATTTTTTTCTTTCCATTTTAAATGGTGTTTATTAATAAGAAAAGGTTGGGTTGTGAAACATATTTAAGTTTTAGAAGATCTGAAGTAGAAATACAGGGGCAGACGGAGGCCATCTTCTGGGTCTTCCAGAAGACAGAATTTGTAAAGTTTACATTGATGGGCATGTAATTTTTTTCTGTCAAAAGCAGAGGATGGATCAACAAAGATAATATGAAAAGACTGTCAATTTATATCTCTCAAAATATATCTGGACCTGCCCCTAAAAAAAAAAAAAATAGAGGTTTAGGAGGAATGAAATTTAGACATACAGCGAATTGACAATTGATTGCTAAAAATACTTGATTATTTATGTGCCATTTTCCTTAATATTGAAAACTCTTTCATCAGGTGATTTATGCTGAGAATTAGCAATGGACAACAGCTATTGTGATTTAGAGAAAGTGATTAGTCTTGTCAATTTATAAGTGTAACTTGTGATTGAATGATATGCAAGCATTTTACATACACAGTGCCACAGGTTAATTATTTCAAGAATGTTCGTGTTAAGTCTGAAAGATCTTACAGAACATGTGTCATGTTTTAAATATTTATCATTCATTATTTGTGTTTTTTTTTTAATTTTTATAATTATTATTGATAGTTAAATTGCCATACTCTGTAGACAAATGGTGCCTTAAATAGTTTAATAAAGTTCAAATGATCAGTATGAGACTGAAATAAAATTCAAAATCAACTGACAACTGTGTGCCTTTTTGATCATTCAGCCCAAGGATTCCTCTGTCTTTAAGCTGTTCCCATGTTGGCGTTTTTTTTTTTTTTTTTTTTTTTTTTTTTTTTTTTTTTTTTTTTTTTTTTTTTTGTTG